TAATGGTTAATTTTATATGTCAACTTTACTGGGCTATGGATGCCCAGATAGCTGGTAAAACATTATTCCTGGGTGTGTCCGTGAGGGTGCTTCTGAAAGAGATTCACATTTGAATTGGTGGACTAGATAAACACCATCCTCCCTGATGTGGGTGGGTGTCATCTAAATCTGTCGAGGATTTCAATAGAACAAAAAGGCGAGGAAAGACAAATTTGCTCTCTTTGCATTAGTACATACATCTCCTGCCCTCAGATCTTGGTGCACCTGATTCTTGGGCTTTCGGACTTGGACTGAATTATACCACCAGCTTACTGGCTTTCCTGTTTGCAGATGGCAGATTGTGGGACTTTTTGACCTTCTTAATTGTGTGAGCTAATTCCTTTAATAGATATATATGAGGTCTGTCCAGAAAGTATCCAACTATGTCACATGAAAAATAGAGACATTTATTGAAGAAGATACAAAAATACAAGAAACATTGTACGTAGGACACCTCAGTCCCCTTCAAAGTAGGCACCTTGGGACCTCACACAGTTCTCCCAGCGTCTCTTACTTAACCTAACCCGTACACGTTCAGCATTCTCAGGTTTTCTGCTTGTTGCAGGCCTTCCAGAATATGGATCACTTTCAACAGATTCTCCACCATCTTTGAAGCATTTGTGCCACACTTTTATTTGCGCTGCACTTGTTGCATCATTCCAGAAAGCCTTCTGAATCATCTGAATAATTTCCATGGAGGATTGTTCAAGTTTAATGCAAAATTTGATGCAGATTCATTGCTCTATTCACTCAGTCATTTTGAATACAATGGCCACACAGTACACATGTTCACTCAATGGTGTCGCCCCGCTGACTAGTACGATGAAGTTGTCATTGCTCACGCATGTGCATTACAGTGCACTCGCCTTGGCTGCCAGGTTACACAAACCGTTCTCCTTATGTTAATGTTAAAAGTGGCCGGATACTTTCCAGACAACCTGCATGGTATATCTGTATTTTATTGGTTTTGTTTCTCTGGAAAGCCCTAACTAACAGAGCATACTAGACATTCTATTCATATAACCTTCTTGAAGAAGTATTTCTCACAGCCAGCACACGCTCACGTGGACTGGTTGCTCCCTGTATCTGCTACTTTGCTATGGTGCTTTTGCCGTCATACTGCTGTATGAGTCTACTAGGGCTGCCGTAACAAAAATGCCGCAGACTGATTGGCTTAAAAAGCAGAAATTTTTGTCTCACAGGTCTGGAGGCTGAAAATCTGTGATCAATGTGTCAGTTTCTCCTGAGGCCTTTCTCCTGGGCTTACAGATGGTCACTTTCTTGCTGTAACTTTGCGTGGCCTTTTCTCTGTGCACACACATCCCTGCTGTCTCTCTCTGTCTCTTTTTATAAGGACACCAGTCACATTGGATTATAACCCACTGTTATAACCTCATTTAACCATAATCACCTCCTTAAAGGCCCTATCTCCAAATACAGTCCCATTAGCTTCAACATATAAATTTTGAGGGGATGCAATTCAGGCCATGGCACCCAGGATTGCCTTTTTTAATTTCCTCTGCTGAATTTCTTGTTTCCTGGATCTTAGAGATCTTTATCTTTCTTGGTTTACATCATTGTCTTGGTGAATTTTATCTTCCAGTAACATCCAAAGAGGGGAAAATCTGTGAGCGCTCACATATCTGAAAGTATCTTTTTTCCATTTTTCACACTTAATGGTTTGATGGCTGAATTGTGGATACAAATATTGAGGAGAAGTTTCTCCCCTCCACTCAAATTTTAGTTAAGCTAATTTGTTTGTTCTGTTTTTCTACAGGTGGGAGTTGTCTCTTGTTTATTCTTGCATAGGGCATGGGGTCCTTGCATTGTCAGCTTTATGTGAGCCTATCCATTTACGATTCTCATCTTCAGAGAGGCTTAGACTTTGTCTTCTTTCTCCCTTGCCCTCTGGGCATTAAATGGAAGCTCAGATCCAGGCAGACTTGGTAGATGCTCTCAGAACAAAAGCCTGCATCACTACTCACTTATGCCTTGGAATTGCCCCTCTCACTTTGTTTTTGGGTTATCTAACTTCCTGCCAGATTATACATAATGAGTGAGATGTGCACCATCTGAGGGATGGTCATGCTGGAGAATCAGACTTGTGGGGGGTGGGGGGAAAGGGCATTTATTGAAACCTTAAAATCTGTACCCCCATAATATGCCGAAATAAAAATATATATATATATATATATTTCCTATATTTCATCCAGCAATCATAGTTGTTTGGAGGAGGGCTCAGAGTCAGTAGTCCACCTGGAAATCGCAGTCATCTTCATTGTATAGGACAGAATACCATTAGAATGTAGGCATCATTGCAACTGGAGAAAATTTCTAATGAACAAATGAGTTATTAATATTATCCACTTAGTAAGATTTACGTTAAAGTACTAGCAAGTATTGGCCTCTATATGGTTTTTGGTCACATTTCAGTTTTAATTTTCAACTCACAGCTTAGTTTCTCATAGAAATATTATTGTTAGACGTGCTTTGTTTAGTTAATATATATGGAGAATGAGCTACTTCACATAGATACCTTTTCCTAAGTAACATTTACCTCTTGAAATTGTCAAAACTTGTTTTACTCATGTTAAATGGACTATTTTCAAAATGGACAAAATGTACAAATATACCTATACCTTCTATCTGGTTTAAGAAACATACCAAAGTGATGCAATTGAAGACCCCTTATGCTCCTCCCTAGTTCCATTTCCTTCTCTTTCTCCCCAAAAGTAACCACCAATTTGAATTTATCATTTGCAGATGTTGTTATACTTTTATACCAATCAATTGGCTGCATGAAATTTATGGTAAGAGAGCATTACAGAATTTATAATATTATTATTTGTAAATTTTGTATTGCATATTCTTTATATCAGTCAAATTGATAATAAATATATATGTACACACACATAGGTCTATGCATTATTTAATATATAGCCAGTTAGATATATACCAGCATCTCTCTGCTTAAGCCCTCTGAGACTGAGCTTTTTCATTTAGTAAATCAATCACTCAAAACTATAAGCACTATACTTGAAAAAATGATATTTTCTTGTTCGTACCTATTTCATTTTAAAATTGAATAGCAGTATTCTTTCAACCCATCCTTCTAAAGCCCACATATAGACATACTTGAGAGCCATGGTGTGTATAAAATTATTTGCTTCTATAATTATAAGACTCTAAAATAAAATTCTTTTTAATATGCATGGCTTCTTTGTATAGATCTTTAGCAGCCTACCTGGACATCAATGGTCGTTTTTGGTTTTGTAATTGCATTTTGCTCCTCCTTTTAGCAGCCTATCCTGTCCCTTCATGCTCTTATCCCATAACTTCTTCTTACTCTTGCTGTCCTGTCCTTGGACTAGAAACTATACCTTATCCTTCTGGAATTGTGCACAAAATATGAACGCATGGATGCTCAATGAGGACCTGGAAAACATTTCTATGATTGTTTTCATCTATTTTAGCTGTGACTTCTTTTCTTATATAAAAAATTATGATTGGCCGGGCGCTGTGGCTCACGCCTGTAATCCTAGCTCTTGGGAGGCCGAGGCGGGCGGATTGCTCAAGGTCAGGAGTTCAAAACCAGCCTGAGCAAGAGCGAGACCCCGTCTCTACTATAAACAGAAAGAAATTAATTGGCCAACTGATATATATATATAAAAAATTAGCCGGGCATAGTGGCACATGCCTGTAGTCCCAGCTACCCGGGAGGCTGAGGCAGAAGGATCACTCGAGCCCAGGAGTTTGAGGTTGCTGTGAGCTAGGCTGACGCCACGGCACTCACTCTAGCCTGGACAACAAAGTGAGACTCTGTCTCAAAAAAAAAAAAAAAAAAAAAAAAAAAAAAAAAAAAAAAAAAAAAAAAAAATTATGATAAAATATTTTAAGCATATGAACAGGGAATGAAAATAATAACCAGCTCCTCAGGTACCTTGTATCTAGTTTAAGGAACAAAACAAAGAGATGCAATTGAAGACCCCTTATGCTCCTCCCTAGTTCCATTTCCTTCTCTTGCTCCCCAAAAGTAACCAATAACTTGAATTTATCATTTCCAGATGTTGTTATACTTTTATCTCATATGTATATATTTTGAAAACACATGAGTTGCCTTACATACTTTTAAATATACAAAACATTATAGATGTACTGTATATATTCTTTTATTAAATTAATAAACTTTATGTTTTAGACCAGTTTTAAGCTTGCAGAAAAATTGAGCAGAAAGAGACCTCCTCTGACTTTAGCCCACGTTTGGATAAATGCCCTTCTCTGGTTTCTGTAAAAGGAAAGGGCTTTTACATTGGTTGTTTTGCAATTGCCTATTTAGCTAAGTTCCCCAAGAACACGACACACAACATAGCTCACTCTGGTGTCCCTGTGCTTAGCACAGAGCCTGACACATATATTTGCTGAATCACAGGAAGTATGAATGAATGAATTTCAGATATAAACAATGGTGGAAACTAGCGCCCCCTCTCCCCGAAATAACGGACTGCACCATCACAGGCTCCATTGTTAGGTAACAGGAGAACAGGGTTTATGTGTTCAGGGCCATTCATAAGGTCCCAAGACTCTGTCCTGCACAAGGACAAGGCATGTCAGTCGTGGCCAGGGGGAATGTTCACAAGGAGGAGATGTTCTCAACGCAGACATCCATAAGCTGGGGCCTGCCTCTGTTTACCAGCTGGGAGATCTTCAGATAATGAGCCATGAAAGTCTGCTATGCAACAGCACTGTGCAATAATTTTTCATTTGCCACCAGTCAGCTTTGGGGATCAAGGACAGCTAAACACATAACCCGCTCATGCATGTTATTTTAAAGGCATATTTTAAAGTTATAAATATGGTACATTGAGTTAATGAGGTATGTTCTTTTGGTGACAAATATTTACATTCCACATATGCCTCTTGATGTCAAGAGTGTAACTGTTTCATTTTCTTCTTTTTCTCAGGAGGCTGGGATGCAGATGGAAAAGGCCCTTGTGTCTGGGACACATTTACCCATCAGGGAGGAGAGAGAGTTTTCAAGAACCAGACTGGCGATGTAGCTTGTGGCAGCTACACTCTGTGGGAGGAAGATTTGAAATGTATCAAACAGCTTGGATTGACTCATTACCGCTTCTCTCTTTCCTGGTCACGTCTGTTACCTGATGGGACGACAGGTTTCATCAACCAGAAAGGCAAGTGTTTCTTAAAAATAGAAGGTTGCAGCTTTAATTCAAGGTTATTGCCGCAGTCTGGCATAATTAATCCAGTATGCTATTCTGTGTTGTAGCTTTGAAACTGCAAGTTTTTAGAGTGATTATAGGATAAATTTTTTGAAATGAGTTGGCATTAGCTTTCACAATAATATTTTTGTTTTTTCTTGATTGCTGAGATCTTTGCTGTGGGGAAAGGGTAGATGGGCAGAAGGAGGTTAGAATATGTGTTTTATTTATGTAAGATGTTACCTCAGTGTTAACCTGAAGATGAATTTTTAGAAGTTGTTGTATTAAACTATTTTCAGTTGTGTAACCCTGTGATGAGTTATGAAAAGCCCTGAAGAACTTGAGATGATTCTGAGCATTTCAATTAGAGTTGAATTAGTGGAGCTAATTAACTAGCATAGGAGTTAGCACCAGGCCCCTGGAGTTCACTTACTTGAGATTAAGTGCCAGCTATATTGGTTACTATTAATATCTGTATAAGCACTTCTTGGGCATCTCTGGGTGCCTCAGTTTCCCTATGAGTAGAAAGGAATGCTATAATAGTTACTACTTCAGAGAGTTTTTGGAAGATTAAATGAAATAATCTTTGTAAAGTGCTTGTCACAGTAGCTAACATATCACAAGCATTCAATAAGTGTTAGCTCTTGTTATTATGCCTTGTAATTAAAAAGACTACTCACTGCCCTATTGAATGCATGTTATTTATGAGGTATTTTACACCCATTTTCTCTAATCCTCACAATCGGTAAGGAAGATATAATGATCATATCTTACGGAAGTGCATGTCCAAATCCACACATTTGGTAAGTGGTAGATATGGAATTTAAACCCAAGGTCTGATTAGCTGCTTCTACATAACAGGGCTGGATAACTATGACCTGAAGGTCAAATCTGGCCTACTGCCTAATTGTATAAATAAAGTTTTATTGGAACACATCCACTCATTGCACATCGCCTATATTGCTTTCCCACTATAATGCCAGAATTAAGTACTTGAGGCAGATACCACATGGCCTGCAAAGCCTCAAATATTTATTATCTGATCCTTTACAGGAAAAGTTTGCCAACCCTTGCATTACAACATATTGCTTTTTAATAAAGACGTTGTATTACTTCATTGTCCTGGAGAAGGTTTCACACTACTCATAGGGCTGGGAATAAGAAAAGCAAATGAGGTGTCTAGAGTATAAAATGTCAGGAGAGTCTGAAATGCAGGATTAGCAGTCATATGACCTGAGAATGAGTGCACCTGCGTGCCTCACCACGCTTCTCCTGCAAGAACCCTCTTTAATACGAGAGGCTCTTTTTGAGTAAGTTATATTATTCCTTACATGGAAAAACCCGTGACAACAATTCCTACATGGGCTTGTGCACTTGCAATGCTCATTTTATGTAAGGTGGGGCAATCTTCACATTGTGAAAAAGAATTACAACTCATACATTAGAATGAATAAACAACCTATAGAATGGGAGAAAATATTTGCATGCTATATACCTGACGAAAGTCTGACAACTAGAATTTATATATAACTCGGGAAAATCAGTAAGAAAAAAACAAACAACCCCATTAAAAAGTGGGCAAAGGACATGAACAGAAACTTTTCAAAAGAAGCTAGACTAATGGCCAATAATCATGTGGAAGAATTCCCCACATCTCTAATCATCAGGGATATGCAAATCAAAACCACAGTGAGATGCCACTTACTCCAGTGAGAATGGCTTTCATCAAAGTCCCCAAACAACAAACATTGGCGTGGATGTGGAGAGATAGGAATACTCATACACTGCTGATGGGACTGCAAAGCAGTGCAACCTCTGTGTAAAGTAGTATAGAGATACCTCAAAGAACTCAAAGTAGAACTACCATTTGATCCAGCAATCCCACTACTGGGTATTTGTCCAAAGCAAAAAAAGACATTCTATAAAAAAGACACCTGCACTCGAATGTTTATGGAAGCACAATTCACAATTGTGAAGGTATGGAAACAACCCAAGTGCCCATTAGTACATGAATGGATTAATAAAAGGTGGTATATGTATATCATGGAGTACTACTCAGCTATAAAAAGTGGTGAACTAATACTTCTTGTATTATCTTCGATGGAGCTGGAACACACTCTTCTAAGTGAAGTATCACAAGAATGGGAAAACAAGCACCACACGTACTCACCAGTAAATTGGTACTAATTGATAAAAACTTACGTGCACATATGGAAGTAACATTCATCAGGTGTCAGGCAGGTGGGAAGGATGAGTAATTCACACCTAAAGGGTGCGGTGTGCGCTGTCCGGGGGTTTGGGAAAGCTTGTAGCTCTGACTCAGGTGGTGCAAAGGCATTTTATATACCCAAAGTGTTTGTATCCCCATAATGTTCTGAAATTAAAAAGAAAAAATAAAAGAATTTATGAACTCACGTGTAGCATTGACCTTCAAGTAGCTTTCCCCAAGTGGGGACAATGCAAGATTAGAGGGCTCATTATTTGGTCCTAAAGATATTAGGACATGACTAATTGCCATTGTTGGTATTACTGGCTAGTTTTATTTTTTGCATTGAACAGGGGTAATTTACTGTTCAGTTTATAAGTGAACTCACAGGTTTCCACCTACCTAATCCAACATCTATATTCTCCCTTCTCTATGGTACCACCATATCCTAAGTTTTAGAAACTCAAAGTAATCTTTGAATCCTCTCTTTTTTATTGCTTCCTACATCTAATTGGTTGCCAAATATGATCCATTCTACTTATATCTTTTTAACGTCTCCCCTCCTAACCATCCTCTCTGCCCCTGCCACAGTTTAGGTATTTATCATTTTCACCAAGGACTTTTTGATGTATCATTGATAGATCTCTCTAATTCCCCTTCTCTGTCCTTGAATTCTTCCTATAAAATGCCACTATAGCAATTTTCCTAAAGCTTGGACCAAATTAGGCTGTTTGGATCATCTCCTATGGAAAAAAAAAGAACATAAAAATAATTTTTATCATCACTAGCCTCAATATACAGTCCACATGTACACAGGATGGTCATGGTTGCCTTTTATTGAGCATGTAGTATATGCAGCTCACTGTGCCATGCATTGCACTTGCTTTTGCTTGTTTAATATTCATAACAGTCCTATGAGTGAGGAGCTTCTCTAAACAGAAGGAATAATGATAACCTAGGAAGTAAGGCTGAACATAAATTTGCCAAGATGACAAATTTAGTTAGGGCTGAGTTCAAACTAGATCTCTATCTGATGTCAGAAATCCAGTGTCTAGTCTAGAGCTCATTCACAACTTCACTAAAGCACTTGAACTCTCTGTGCTATCATATCCCTGTTGGTTAAATGAAGTAAGGTCTCACGACATGTCACTAAAACTATTTCTACTGATTTTAGAAATTTGGAGTTTTCACTGAGCTTCCATTTGGATGATAAACAACAGGGAAAAAAAAAAACTCTACCAGTTTGTAATATAGGTATATGATCCCTTACCTAAAATTCTAAAATTCAAAGGGCTCTGACTACCGAATCTTTCTAAAATAAAATTGGCAGCAAAATCCCACCTGAATTGTTGTGATTATTTTTATATAATCTTGGTTTATTGTGCCTGGTGAGAATATTTATCTATTTTACTGAAGAAATATCAAGAGATACTGACCCAGACCCACTGGGAGTATTAATTATATATTGTATAAGTTTTGTGTTTCCTTTCTAAAACTTCCAAAGTCTGAACACATTTGCCCCAGCATTTTCAGACAAAAGATGATGGGCCTGTACCTATATGTCAACATATTGAGCTTTATAAAACCAACTTTGGATGGACTGAAGCTCATGGAGGCACACTGTAGATCAGCAATCCAGGGGCAGAGGGTGGAGGTGGTGGTAGTATGGTGGTTGGATTCACCTGAACAATGTGGAAAAATCACTCACACAAACCTCCTGTGGGGATCATGTGCCCACAGCACTGAGCTTTTTGTGTTCAGCCCTGGCTTTTTAAAAGCCAGAGCTGATTAATATTACAGACTTCTCCCTGAGCGAGAGGGCACCGGAGGTGCTTCCAGGAGGTGGAATTTCAATAAGCAGTTGCTCACTCTTGTGCAATGATCTGTTGAAGCAATTGAAACGGTTTTAACTCAGAAAGGCCATCATTTGTTTTTTCTTCCGTTTAAACATTTTCTCCAAGAACATGTGAAGAATTAGAAAACCCCTATCACTGTCCTTTCTGAGGAACCCACTTTTTTGTGTGTGTTTGACTAACCATTTTAAAGCTTGCTTATAGGGCATTTGGAAATTTGTGAAATGCTATGTCCCCCAAATTAGAAGGATATTTTACAAAGTGAAATTGTTGCATAGCTTTTCCCTTTCAAGTGTCATTTTTTCAAGGTTTAACAAGAAGAGATTTGGCTGGCAACTGGAATCACATATTTCTGTCTTCCTCAACTGTTCAAATGCATTTTTGTATCTGCCACAAATGTAAATTTCAGGTGATTAGTAGGAGAACCAAATATTAAAAATTTTTGTTTAAAAAAAGAATATGTATGCAGAATTTCTTATTCTCTTTAACATTTAAAATACGAGTGCATTTAGCAGGAATGGTTTAAATAAATTAACTAAACAAATGTTAAGTTTGTATTCTATATTGGGCACTATGGTAGGCTGAATAATGCCCCCCTAAAGATGTGCATGCCATAATTCTCAGAAATCATGAATTTATTAGCTTACATGGTAAAAGAAACTTTACAGATGTAATTTAGTTAAGAATCTCGACATGAGGAGATTATCCGGAATTATCTGTGTGGTCTCAATGTAATCAGGTTAGGGTTAGGGTCAGGGTCAGGGTTAGGGTTAGGGTTAGCACTAGGGTTAGGGTCAGGAAGACTGCAAGATCAAAGTCAGAGAAAGGAGATGGAAGGACTAAAGCAGAGGTCAGAGGAAACAGCTGAAGATGAAGATGGGAAAAGGGGTCATGAGGGAAGGAATTCAGGAATG